GACACCCACTGTCAGGCCTCGAACCTGTCCATAAAAACCAGGAGGCTTCCTGGAGGAGGCAGCACCCAATCTGAGGGCTAAAGTATAAGGAGGAGATAATCAGGTACAACAAGAGGAAGGGTGGCCTAGGAGGAGGGCACAGCCAGGACAAAGGCCTGGAAACTTGCAAGTGTTTGGAGGAACAGTAATGAGGGGAACCTGGAGGGCTGGTGAGACTGTGAGGTGGGAAGTGGGCTAAACTGGGGTAGGAAAGGAGGCCAAGTTGGGTTTGGGCTCCAGACAGGGTGGCCGGGATTGGGGTTAGTACCGCTAACTGCCAAGGGCTTTCCATGGCCCTCAGCACACGCAGGGGATGGCTTGCTCTGCAACCTCCCAGCCTTTATCCACGTTGTACCCTCTTCCCAATCACCCTCACCAGCCCAGGAACACCTCAGCATTTCTGACTCAGCTCCCATGCCCCCAGTGAGACCGCATGACCCTCCTGGCTTTTTCTCAAGGCCCTTGAGTAAGACCCACCCACACCTCTTAGCCTGGCAGGTGCTGGTAGCCCGGAATGCCCTTCCCCCACTTCTGGAAGGCACCTGGGAGCAGGTGAAGGAGCTTGGGAGGCCAGGCGAATCCAGTGTGGGGACCTGGCTGGCCTCAGGTGGGGTCCTGAGCCTGGGTTTCCCCATCTGAATAGTGGGGCTACTTCTGCTTCCTCCTGGGAGAAGCTCAGGGGATCTGGAAAAGTCTCAGGAGAAGGGAGTCACCCCCAGGGGACATAGGAGTGCTTTCCATGTCACCATGAGCAGAGGTCAGCAAGGCCACCCTGTAGGTGCATGTGTGGGCAGCAGGAATCCAACCTGGCTCCCTGTCGCCTACCCCTCCCACTCTCACCCCGCCCCCGGGAACTGGGCCAGACAGTGCACATGAAGGCAGGAGGGAGAGCACCCTGTGTTTGCACAGGGTGCCCCAGAATGTGGCAGGACAGGCCATGGGGGCCCTGAGTCAGGAGTTATGGGTCATCTGGGGCACCAGGCCAGGTGGGCAAGGGACTGCTTTTGGCAGGTGGCTTGGGCCCTGGGAATGGATGGGCACAGGGCAGGTGGGGGAACCCGATAGAAAGAGGCAGTTCTGTGGTCTGGCTCAGTCCAGGGGAGGGGTCCAGCCTGGATTTAGGTTCATTCCAGGTCAGTGTTCATTCATTCATTCATTCATTCATTCATTCACTCACTGCTCCCTGGCATCCAGTCCCTCCTGGCCAGCCCCTCTCGTTATCATCACTGGCAATAAGCTGTCTTTGCTCTCGGAGAAGGGCACTGTTATTAATTCATGCAGGTCCCCAACCCCACACTCCACACTGATTGGTGTCTGTCTCCTCATCCCCACTTAGGGTGACTCTTCAGTTCCCCCTCAAATCTATCCCAGATTCACTTGGCTCATCTGCCCATGGCCTGCCTTCTCTCCCTCAGGGACCACCCCTCCTCCTCCCCTCTGAACCCTCCTCTACACGAAGTGGCTGGGATCATGTCCCTTTCCTGCTCAGATCTCCGCCATGGCTCCCTAATGACCCACCATTAAGATCTGACCCCTCCCTGTGGTATTCGAAGCCCTACACTATAACCTTGGCCCCTCTGCCTCCATTTTGGGGGCTCCTGCCTCATAGCTTTCTTAAATACACCCTGCATAGTCCTACCTCCCCACCTTTGCCCCTGCTCTCCTCCTGCCTAGAGTGCTCCTTGCTCTTTGTCCAACAACTTTACTTTTCCTTCTGGTTACACCCAATGTCTCTGGACCCCAGATAGGTTGGGATCCTGTGGGATACATTCGAGACCCTTCTGGGTCTTTATCTGACACCTGACAACAGGAGGGATGAGGCAGGGCCTCTGGACTCCTTCAGAGCCCCCTGCCTGGCTTTCATGGGCTGCCTGCTCTCCAGTACAAGTCCTAGCCGAGGGGCAGGAGTCAAAGCATCCCTTGGTCCCCTCCCTTCCTTCTAGTCACACCTGGGAGTGCCAGAGAAGTCAGGTGTGAGGAACGGCTGGTGGAACTGCTGCTTCACCATCCACTGAACACCCACCATGGACAGTATTCCCTCCCTCACCTGGAGAGGGTAATACGCCTCCCCATACCATTCGTAGGCGGACACCCGACCTCAGGACCAACCAGCAGCTCCAGGATGAACCTTCTTCCCAGAAGAATGAATGGATGAATGAATGAGCCATGATCCACGCCTGGGGGGTGGTGTCATGGTGAACATGGACTTGTCAGGGTCAGGCCCTCCCATGGGGGTGGAACGGACCAAGAAACCACCAGCTCTAGAGGTAATCATCACCCCTGCAGGGCGCACCCTGAGGTGCAGTGGTGAGGTGTGCAAGATGAGGAGTGCTTCTCTCTCCAGCCACATCTTTTGAAATGCGGAGGAGCTGGGTGGGGTGGAAGAGTGAGAGGATCTATACACACCCCAGGGGAACGAACCCACTTTGGAGACAAATGAAAATGGATGTCAAGAGGTGGCCCTGAAGTCCCAAGTCCAATTACATTCTCTCCGTGGACAACCATAACCCAAACACATACTGGTCCTGTCTTCGGGAAGCTTTTATCACCATGACACATCCCCCAACTCACTCTCCCAATTGGTGAGAATCTGTTCCTGGCATTAATTTTACCAAACAGAAGTGGGGTGACCTCTCTCACTGAGGGGTTCTCAGCCTAGGGAAAGCACTGTAGGTGTGGCTAGGATGGAAGGAGGCAGCAGGTCGAGGAGGCAGCTCTAGGGCTCTAGCCTGAGGCACCCAGAGAACAAAGGCCAAAGTCAGGCAGGGGGTGGGGGCTGTGGGCCTCCCTTGAGGGCCCTCTGGTATCAGCCAGCCATTGGCTGCCTGTCCCTGTGCCAGTGCCTTGTGGCCTTGAGACTGGGCAGAGGTGGCAGCCTACTGGGAGCCCCCATAGGCTGCTCCACCCAGTGACTCAGCCCCACAGAAGACCTCCCCAGGGAGGACAATGGTGGTATGTGGGTGCCAAGAAGGCCTCTTGGCAAATGTGAGCTCCAGGGTGGACTGGCCTGGCCCCCAGAGAGGAGCTCTCTGAGCCTCAGTTTCCTCATCTGGACAATGGGTTTAATCACCCAGGTATGAGAATCTTTATGGCTAAATGTATGGATGGAAACTCATATTTCGGACTAAAGGGGAAGTTCTGATGGCCCAACTTGTCTTGGAGGGCAAGGCTGGACCAGTCACAGGTACCACTTGGGTGTTGTGCCCCAATGCCCAACACCAAGACTGGCACACAGTTGGTGCTCAGCAATTGCATGGTCTATGGATGGACCATCCACCCCCTTCCAGAGGTATTTCCAGGGATAACCCAAGAACCATGCCCAACTCCATGATTTACACTCATAGCCTTGGGGTTCTGGACCATCCTGAGGCTGAGGTCTCCAGAAACCTGCTACCCCCCGTCTGGTCCTCCAGAAACCCCTGAGGCTGAGAAAGCCAAAGCAGACCCCAGGCCTGTGGGCTTAGGGTTGGGCCACCAGGAAAGGGCCCCTCACTCAGAAGTACCAGATCCATTAGTGGGAAGAGACCTAGGGATGTGGGCAGGAGCTACAGGTGCCTACAATGTGCCCATCACTGCACCCTTCTATTTTCCTGACAGGGAAACTGAGGCCCAGGGCATGGCAAGAATTTGCCCAAGGTCACAGTAAAGGGGGAGGGTTGAGGGATTCAAACCCAGACCCCAAGACCCTCACTCCCCTCTCCAGGTCTGGGGTATGTGGGGGACTCTTTGGGCCAGAAGGCTGTGTCAGGGTGGGTGGCAGCCTACTTTAGGTGTATTAGGAGGCGTTTGTAATTTTATTAAGATACCCTTCCTTTCCCTGGGGTCTTCTCCACTTCCCCACCCCCACTTTTCTTCCCTTCAGCGCAGCTCCCTTGGCTGGAAGCAGCCCTGAACTACGGATTGATTCAAGGGCTTCACGTGGGAGTGGAAGAGCATTGCAAACAGGGAGCACAGTAAGGACACAGACCCAGCCAGAGATGAGAATGAGCCTGGCAGTTTTCAGAACAGTGAGGAGGCCCTTATGTCCAGAGCTCCATGGGCCAAGGGGATGGTGGCCTCTTCTCAGGCCTGGAAGCAGTGTAGCTTTCCTTCTGGGGACACAGGGATCCATGAAAGAGTGTTATTTAATTTATAATAATTATTATTCCCATTCTGTAGGGTCTGTGGTCTTCAAAAGCCTCTTGCTGTTGGGAAAATTTTGGACGTACTAGGAGAATCAGCAGGCTTCTTCTGGCCTTAGTTTTGTCCAAACTCAGGTCCAAATTCCAAATTACAGATTGGGAAACAGACTCAGCGAGTCAGGCACAGCGCAAGTCCCACGAGAGTCTCTCTGACACTGAAACAGAGCTAACCTCGGTTTCCCTCCCCGTAAAGTGGGTCTCATTCATTGGCTCTGGGCCTGGGCCTTGGTTGCCCTCTCGCAACACCCAGCACCGCAGACAGCCCTAGGAACGCAGACACGACCAAGCCCGAGAGGATGCGCGGGCGCCTACGCAAACCTGAGAATAAAACTGCAAAGTCCACCCCCGCTGTTTCTCCGGGACTCGAGCTCGGAGAGTCCCGCCTCTTTCTTCGCAGTCGGCAGAGAGAGGGAGTGGCCTCTTCACTAATGCCCGGTGGCGCCGCCAATCAGGCTTTCGCGCTCTCCGATTGGCCACTACGGCTCTGCCTTATCTTTCCATCTCACGGTCCTTTCTCCCTTGCGTCACGGATGGTATGCATTCTATCCATGTGCGCCTCCGCGTTGGAAGATAGTCCCTCCCGCAACCCGCGCCGTTTGCAGAAAGACCGCCAAGGTGTCCCCACTCCCAGACCCCGAGCTCCGTGACGCCGTAACGGCTTTCTGCGAGCGTGCGGGAGGGCAAGCCGGAGGAGGGGGACTGTCGGGGCGGTGGCGACAGCGGAAGGATTCGCTGCGGCGCCGGACGGGGCGGGCCGTGGGAGGACCTTGGAGTGGGCGTGTCCGGCGCACGGGAGGGGGACGGAACATGTCTCCCGCCGCAGGAAGATGAGACAGTGGCGGCGCCCGCGGACGTAGCGGGCTGGGCAGAGCCGACCAGACGCGGCTTCACCGCGTACTCCACGCAGGCCGCCTCCGCCAGTGCCCCGAACACGTACGGGCACGCGGGGCGGGCACGCGGGGAGGGGCCCGGGCCACGCGCCGCCCACGCGCGACCCTCAGGGCCAGCTGGCGCCCCTTTGTCGGGGGGGGGGGCCATACGTGTGCCGCTCCCCGTGCGCTGCGGCTCGGCCGCCCTGAGCAGGTAACTGCACCGGGACCCGGGGCCGTGCGGTTTTGGTGGCCCGGCGTCTTTGTGCAAAGTTGTCCCAGGCTTCCCCATGCCATGGGGGCCGGGAAGTTGGGGAGGGGGCGGTGCTCTGGGGTGCGTTTCCCCCCGCCCTGCCCCATTGCGGGCCGGGCGCGGGGCGGCGGCCGGGAGTCATTGTTCTCCAACTTTGCTCGCCGGGCATTGGGGCGGGCGACGTGTAGGTTCTGGTGCACGCGAGGCCCGCGCGCGCCCCCTCCCCGGCCGGGCCGGTCACTTCGGGAAACTTTCCGGAGCCCTGGGAGGGGGTGCAGGGGGCGCCCAAGGGGCCTTCCAACTTTGTGGCGGGTCCTCTGGGCGTCCCCTTCCCCGGGAGGAGCACGGCGGGGCGCTGCAGTTTGGGGGGGAGCGTGTGAGGGAGGGAGAGTCCTTTTGTCTGAGCCGGGAAGGTGCGACCGCGCAAACTGAGGCTCAGGTTGAGGGCCGGGGGAACTGCGGAGTGAACATCTGCTCCGTGTTAATGGGGGAGAGGCGGCAACGGCGGCTCGGGTTTGCGAACAGCGGAGTGGTGGCGCCCCAGCTTCAAAGGGCTCCGGGGCCTCGCCGCCTGCACCGGCTGCGGGGGGTGGGCGGTTGGTTTCTCGGGCCTCCCCCACCAAGGAAGATGTCCAGTGCCCGCCTTTCCTTCGAAATGGTTCCAAACACCTTACGAGTCCCCAAAAGTCCTCGTGACACCCCAAAGCCTCAGCTCTCCTATAAAAGCCCGTCTCAGCCCCCCACCCCAGTCTGCCGAAAATTGGTTTCAACTATCCCACAAAAAATTGCGGTTTCGTACTCAAAAAAGTCAGTTTCACATGCCCTCCCCAAAAGAAAAAAGTTAGCGGGGGAGGGTGTTCTCAGGGGCAGCCGTTTCACACCCTGTCTCTAGTTGACAAACAAAGCGGGGGTTTCTCCACCACTGAAGTTGGGTGTCCCTCGGCCTGGGAACCCCTCTCCCCGCAACCTCCTCCGCGGTGTCTCGACGGCCACCCCACCACCACCCGGGGACCCAGGGAGGAAGCCAGAGTGACTTCGTTGTCCGTCTACAGGGCAAACAAGACTTGCTTTGCACCCTTTCCTAGAGTGGGTAGGGTGGAATGGGGTCTGGCAGGTGGATCCCCCACCCCCATTCTAGAATAGAATGAAGCCCCTGGGACCATGGTGGTGGGGGGTGAGTCTGGTGTAGGAACCCGCTTCCCTCAGGGGCGGGAGAGGGGATGTTTTCAAAGTTGCTTAAAAATAATTCCCGGATACAACGTGACAATAAAACAACCTAGGGTTGTTTGTTCTTTTCTGAGTTGGGTGGTTTTTTGAGGGGGGAGGAGGTGAGAGGTATAGGTACCGTAGTAGGCTCCCCTTGATTCAGTCATGAAGCAGGCAGGGGCCTTGCCTTCTTGAGGATTTCTTTCACTTTGAGTTAAGGGGTGACCAAGACTTCAGCGTGCTGTGACAGCTGCTTGTGGGAGGGGGTGTCAGCAAATTTCCTCTGGCCTGCCGGGGCTGGGTAAGCCTGGGGATGGTTGGAAATGGGACATGTGGCCTGAGGGGGGCAGGTTCTGGCCCAGCAAGTGGAAAAATGACTGCTCCAGCTCTCCTTCCAGTTTAAAATTTGCAGCTTGTGTCTCTGGTGGTCTCAGAGGGAATTAGGAAATCTATATTTGCTTACTCTACACCCCCCCTCATTGTTCAAACTCCCAGGGCTCTGAGGAGGGGTCTCTCTAGGGGCCCTGAATTCTGGTATTCTGGCTGCCCTGCCCCCATCCCCAGGGTCAGGAAGGGAATCAGTCTAGGGGGACCCAGCCCCTCAGGGTGGTTGGAAGGGCTTTTTAAACAGCTCTCCTACTCCCCATCTGTCTACTTAGGCCACAGTCACAAAAACCTTTTTTATTCTTTTTCTGTTTCTCTGTATATGTCTGTCCCTGCCCCTCCCTGTGTCCACTACCACCATCCACCACCACAGGCTACCTACCACACAGGGCCATCTCTAGGACTGAAGTATCCAACTTGGCCCCTGAGCCCACCATTGCAGCTGGAGAATGAACCAGCCGCAGAGGATGGCGCCTGTGGGCACAGACAAGGAGCTCAGTGACCTCCTGGACTTCAGCATGGTAAGCCAGGCTTGGCCGGCCTCTCAGACACCCCCCTGTGTCCCCTGGATTCCTAGAAAAGAAACACCTACTGAAACACCCCCAGAAGCCAGGCCTAACACTTGTTTGGATGGAGAGGCCCCCAGGTAGGGCTGGGAGAATTGGGGTGTCCCTCTGATGGGCAGGCTGACATAGCAGTATGCATAATCGGAACCCTTGTTGGTTCCCAAAGGCACCTGTTACCCAGGCGTTTGCTCAGGCACAGAGTGGGTTTGATCTACCACTCTACAGGTAGAGAAACCAAGGCCCGGAGAGTGGGAGGGGCTACCCAGAGCCTCAGTATCTCCAAGAGGAGGCTCAGCTCTGAGGTCCCTGCTTGGCTGTATGCACACAGTGGCCTTGGCCTTCTGATCTGTAAAATGGGTGTGGCCACTGTTATTTGTTATATCATGGATTTCAAAAAACAAGGTGGTGTACGTAGTCTAATTATTTAGCCACACAGTCGCTAGTGCAGTCAGGTGACATGAAGAGACCTCATGAGGACTGTGGCGATCTGTGGGCAGCGCTTAGCCACCACTGCTGTTGCTGCCATTGGTATTTTTGGGGGAGGGTAAGGATCCTTATACTTCAGGTGGTTTGATCCACCCCAAACTGCCCATTTCTTTGCCAGGCAAGTGGAGGTCTGGGAAGGTCCTGGCTTTCAGAGGTCACACAGCTCAGACCCGCCAAGTGAGGCCAAAAACCAGAGCAGAGCTCCCTTCAGTGCTAAGAGCTGCGGTGTACCTTGGAACCCAGGCCTTGATTTGCTCATCTGTGTAGTGGGCCACCTGTCACGGGTGTCTGGGTGGTCAGCGTTTCCTCACAAATCAGGGAACCCAATGTGGACACTTCCCTAAGTCCCACCCCTCCCCCCACCCAGACACCGTTTTGGTTTGAAACAAGTTGGGGAGGACTCTTTCGGTCTGAATTTAACCCTCCCCCAGTACCAGGCCCAGGCCACTGAGGTTGATCAAAAACAAGTCCCCAAACTGAAACATCGGCCATCCTGCGGAAAGGCACAGCCCTTGAGACAGTGGGCCTGCAGCTCTGGAAGGGCCAGGCCCGTATTTTTAAGCCCCGTTTTATTTTTGCTTCCCCGGCTGAGTAACTGGGGTGCAGCTCAGTTGTTTTTTGTTAAACCGACAGGTCACAGACTACTGGGCCAGAACAGGTCTGCATGGGGGCGGGGGAGCACAGGGTCAGAGCTGGCCCCTGCTGTGCCATCTGAGAGCCCTGAACAACTTGTCTGCCTCCCCATTCTTTTTTTCTTTTTTTTTTTTTTTTTAAGATTTTACTTATCTTTAGAGAGAAGGGGGAAGAGAGAGAAAGAGGGACAGAAACGATGTGAGAGAGAAACATCAATTGGTTGCCTCATGCGTGTACACCGACTGGGAATTGAATGTGTGACCTTTCATTTCAGGGGACCATGCCCAACCAACTGAGTCACACCAGTTAGGGCTGCCTCCCCTTCTATCCAGAGGGCCTGAATGTCTCCCCCTCCCTAGCTAAAAACCAATAACTTGTTTCGTGGATGTGGAACAAGGCTGAGAAGGTGAGGTGCTCAGTGTCTCCTCTCAGAATCTCAGGGCTTGGTTTTCATCCTCATCTTCCCTCCTTGTTACAGGAGAGTGGCAGAGGCAGCCTCCCATTTCAGCTCACATCCTCTCCATAGCGCCCTCTCACCTGCCCCAGAGAAACTGAGTTCATCTGTTTCTTTGAAAGACCTTGTTTTTAGACTGAAACGGAAGAAACTTAAAGGGAAGCAGGTCTTCTTTGGGCTAGGTTCTCAAAAGTAGGAAAGGCAACAGTCAAAATTAAATACAGAGAAACTTCCTGGGATAGAAAAGGAAGGTGTTGAGGGCACTTTGACTCTGAGTGACCTTCCCTGAGTGGGCCCAAGATGGTTCCTCTGCCTAATGAGGGGCCAGGGGAACAAGGAGTCTGAGCCTAGCATGTGTAGGGGGGCCCCAATGCTCTAGACATCCATGTGTGTTGGGGTTTCACAACATTCCATGTGGTCAGAACCCCAAGTCCATTTCACAGAAGAAAATATTGAGGCTCCAGGGGTGTGCGGCCTCTCTGGGCTGATGATGAGTCATGTGGTGCTCAGAGGACACGGCCCATTGCCCTCCGCAGCAAGTGCCACGGCAGAACCCCTAGCAGTCTAGGGGACAGAACAAAGACAAACCCCCGGGGCTTGGCTGCTGACCTCCCGCTCTCAGGTCCTATTGGTTCTGATTTTAGCTCAGGCCAGCCCCTCCCCCAATGTAGGCCTCGGTTTCCCCAATGAGAAAGGAACCTATTTTGAGGAATAGGGCCCTGGGGAGGCTGGCCCAGTTGAGGGAGCAGAGACACACACATGAGCACACACCACCCCAAGAGGGACATTAAGTGAGAACTCATTGCCATGTCTCCCATGAGCCTCTGCTCTAACTCTTGCCGGGCTCAGTTAAGCATGTGGCCTTAGTTTCCCCTCCTGTGGGATAGGGTATGCGGGATAGGACCCTACTTCCTGGGCCCCTCCCAGGGTTCATGGTGCTCACATGAGAGTCACCTGTGGGTGAGAGCTACATCCCCACTTCCTTGCTGGCCTGGGAAGGTTTGGGGGAACCATTAGCCATTCCCCAACAAACCACTTAGCCCAATTCTGGCCACTTAATCACCTGGGCCCCGAATTGAATCTGTAAAACCCAGATCTGTGGGGCACAGCAATAACATGTGTTTGTTTTTTCTGGCAAAGAATTTGTTGATGTTGGGTTTTCCTGTTAGTACTGCTACTGTTTAATCTACAGGAACTTTACAGTGAGTATTTAAGCAGGGAGAGTGGCACACAGGGAATCACCCAGTAAATCATGGGGGTGGGCTTGTAGCTTTTGCGGAATCCTTCCAGCCTCCTGCCTCTCTGAGCCTCAGTTTCCCTTTCTGAAGGGCAGGCATCAGCAGTTAGGGTGCATTGAGGGCTGCTTAGGCAGCTGCTGAGCACAGAGCTGAGCATGTAAGGGACACTCCACCCAGGTCATGCTCTCTGTCCCAGGGGTGGGGCCTGGCCATCCTCCCCATGTCCCTGCCACTTGGGGTCAGAGGTGAACGAACACAGGAGGGGATTCCAGGCTTGTCAGGAAAGATCTGTGCACATGGTGGCGGGCTGGCCCCTGTTAGCCTGTTAGGTGTAAATGGTCTCACTTTTTAAAGCTGAAACTTTGTATCATATCTAAGAGCAGATAAATTGTATCAAGTGCTAAACAAGTTATTCCATTCAAAAGAATACAAGTCTAGTGTAAACAGCCGGTTTCAACTTCCACTGGATATTGTTGCCACTGGTGGGCTGTGCTGTCACAGAGGCCTGGGTTAAGGTGGTGTGCAGTGAAGGGACCCCTGACTGACTTTTCCTGCCTGGTCTCTCTGATGGGACAGGACCCCTGTAGGCAGAGCTGCATCCCTGGATGTGCCCCCCACCCCACTCATTGCTCTCTCCCTCCCCACAGATGTTCCCCCTGCCGGTGGCCAATGGGAAAGGCCGGCCCACTTCTCTGGCTGGCACCCAGTTTGGAGGCTCAGGTAGGACCCTGCCGCCTTGGGGCTGTGAGTTTGCACAAAAAGATGAGAGTGTGTAGGAGGTGGGCTGGAGCAGAGCAGGAATGGGGTATAGCACCAGACCTAGAAGGTAGAGTGGGGCCAAGGCTGGATGTAGGCTCGTGGACAGGGTGCCAGAGGAGGGGGTGGGGGGGCCTAGGTCCAGCAGCTGGAGTGGGGGCTGGGGACAGCGAGCATGAGAACCAGCTGCTGTGATAGTCGAATGACCTGCATTGAGTGTCATGGAAGGAGCCTGGAGGTCAGCATAGCATCTGTCCTGCACCTGGAGCCCGGCCCCTGGCCTAGAGATGGGAATCATCTGTATCACTCACAGGGGAGTCCTGTGTGAGGCAGGGACTTGAACCTTTGAGGTCTTCTTTGCCTCGGTGGGGTCCTGGGTCTCCATTCCATCCCCAAAGAGGAAACTGAAGCCCAGCAGGGACGTGACATGGAATCCCAGCTCTTGACAAATCTTGCCCATTCTGTAAGCCCTAGGAGAGGCCCAGCTCCTGGCTGTTTACCTTCAAGCATGTATTAGGCCTTTAATAGTACACAGGAGGATACTGAAGGTTACTGGGACTTTGAGCATTCAAACTGGGTACAGCAAGGCAAACCTGGACAAGTCAATCACTATACCTGGCACTGAATGCTGATCATATGGCTGTAGGAGGATGGACAGTATGGCCTGAAGGAACCTGCAACGGGTCAGGAATCAGAGCAGTGGAGAGGAACTTCCACAAAGCCAGGCCATTTGGGGATGGTCTCCAAGGAGACATGATGAAGGGTTCAAGGCAGGAGGAACAGCACATGCAAAGGTCCTGGGGCAGGACCTTGCCTGACATACAGCATGTTGGAGAAATAGGGAGGAGGCTCGTGTGGCTGGAGCAGAGTGAGCATGATAGGGTGAGAGGAAGGATGTAAGGGCGGGGGGGGTGGGGCAGGTCGTGCAGGGTCTTGTGTGCTGTGGTGAGGACTTGGGCTTTCACCCCAAGGAAGGTGGAAACCCTGGAGGGCTGTGAGCAGAGAGTTGGTTGCCATGTGCGTGTTGGGGAATCTGCTCTGGCTGTTGGGAGGATTTGTGGGGAGCCTTTGGGAAGGCTGGCTGTTTCAATCTCTGGCACTCTTTGTGGACTTTGGCATCTTTCTGAGACCCCATGATTCCATGCATCTGAGACCCAGGACAGATTCTTAGAGTCATTTCTAAATTCCATTGGGATATCCAGTGAGGTTTGGCCGGAGGAGAAGGGGGTTTTGAGGGGGTGGTTTATGTTCACACTGCCACCCCAAAGGGAGGAACATTGTGTTGCCGACCCTGGTGCCCTGCACTGGCCTTCCTCTCTGCCTGAGGAAGTGTCAGCAGGGCCAGCTAGAGTCCTCCCTGAGGTGTGGAAATCCCCACATCCCTTCCCTTCTGAAATAGCCCATAGGAGCTAGGATGCTGCCACTCACTGCCTAAGGCAGGACCAGGGCCTGGGGCTTCCTGGACGAGTCGGCATAGATGTGCCTTCATCTACTCCTGGGCCTTTGCCCTGTGCTATATTGCCTAATCTGGTGTCCACTCACAAGGCCAGCAGCCCTAAGTAGCCAAAGTCATGGCCCAGGGTGAGGGTTCCCTCCAGGACACCCCATGCCCAGACTGGCTTCCCACTGACCCCTAATCCAGCCTCAGTGGGAGCCCTTGTAAACATTTGCAGATTGATATTCCATGTTTGCTGCAGCCCCTGCCCTCCCTCTGACCCTGACCGCTTGGGTCTGGAAGGGTCTTGTCCAAACCCCTCTTTCATGAGAAAGTGGTTCACCCTCCCTCCAGACAGGCCATGTCAGCTTTAAAGGGGACACTACCATTTATCAAGAGTTTACAAATGCTAGTGGTTCCCCCAGCCACAATCTCCCGCTCGCCTCCCCTTGTATGTCCTGGTCTGGCATTTTCCTGGTATTGACTTGAAGTCAACTTGCTTCTCTTAAATTTATTCCAAAACAGCACTTCCTATCAGAAAAGTAATAGCCTGACCCAAAATAGAAGGTCTCTTCGAAAGTGACTGAAATAGTGGCTGTGGAGTGTTGAGGTCCAAGGGCAGCCTTGCCCAGGATGTCTGGGCCATTTCTGTGGTTATTTTTTAGATAATTGTTAATCAATATTTTTAGAAGATTTCATTTATTTATTTTTAGAGAGGGGGGAGGGAAAGAGAAAGAGAGGGAGAGAAACATTGATCAGCTGCCTCTCAAACATACCCCAACTGGGGAGCAAGCCCGAAACTCAGGCATGTGCCCTGACTGGGAATCAAACTGGCAACCTTTTGCGTTGCGGGACAACACCCAGTCAGTTGAGCCACAATGGTCAGGGCTAACTTTTATTTTGAAACCATGATAGATTAATTGACATTGCAAGGAAGTGTACAGAGGTCCTGTTCCCCACCCCACTCCAGTCCCCCCAACGTCCTCCATGTCTGTAGTATATATAATGTGGAATTGGGAAGAGGGCCTTTGTACAGCACACAGTTTATTCCCACCATTACACATGTGCCTGTGTGTGCGTGTGTAATGTGCAGTTTAGTTCTGTGCAGTTTGTCCCACGTGTAGGTCCATGGAAGGCCTCTACAATTGAGACACCAAGGTGTTCCATTACCCCTCTGTCTCTTGAGTCTTCATAGTCACTTTCACCTGTAGACCACTAATTTATTTTTCTCCATCTCCACATTTTGTTGCATTGAGAATGTAATATACACAGAACCACACAGCTTGGTACCTTTCGAGGTTGGCTTTATCCACTCAGCATAATTTCCTGGAGCTCCATCCGGGTTGTTGACTGTTTCAGTGGTTGTTTCCTTTTTTGCTGCCTGATAAACTTTTTAATGAAAGGAATCATAACACTTTTGAACAATGACTTATGTCACTATTTTTTGATTACTGTATGCCGGGTACCCAAACTGGGTCATTGATTGTGAGTTCTCTGGCTTCACAGGTCAGTGATGTAGCTGGTGCTATTATCATCCCCATTTTACTTATAAAGAAGCTGAAACTCAAGTTTAGGGACCCTCCTAACTAACCATTCAATACTGCCTCCCTGAGTCCCATACCCACACCCTATATTGATCTTTTTTATTTTCAAGAACTCTTTACATAAAAGGATGCTCTTTTGTGATCTGTGTTGCAGCTGTTTTTTTCTCAACTTACCAACTGTTGTTAATAATGGAGGTTTTTCATTTATCTCAGTAGTTTATTGGCTTAATTTTAATGTTATCAAGGTTTTCACTTATGATGTGTTCTAGCCTTGGTGCCATTTCTGAGAAATCCCTAAGAACTGGATGACAGTCCATTCTGCAGTACAGATGTGACAGTCACAAATGTGCCTGTTTCTCATTACATCAGGTTGAGGAATATATGGGAAAGATGCTGGAGAGGAGGAAGGCATGGTTTTGCCGTCCTTGGCAGAGCAAAGACGTTACAAGTAAGTGGGGGAGTCCTGACCATTGTGGCTCAGTTGGTTGGGTGTCATCCCACAAAGTGAAAGGTTGCTGCTGGTTTTATTCTTGATCAGGGCACATGCTTGGGTTGCAGGTTCGGGCCCTGGTCAGGGCATGTTTGAGAAGCAACCAATCAATGTTTCTCTCTCTCTCTTTCTCCCTTCCCTCCTCTCTAAAAATAAATAAAATCTCAAAAAAAGAAGAAGAAAAGCAAGTGGGGGAGAGAAACCTTAATGGTTGATGAAACCGAGGCTGATGATCTAACTGTCCCTAAGTGCACACATTCCGGGCCGCCCTGAACAGATACCCCTGGATCTAAGACCCTGGACCTAGGCCCCCTGGTGGACAGGCTGGGGTGGGGCGTGTATGGGCCTCACAGCGGTTCTGAGGGCACCTCCAGTTAGAAGCACTTATCCTTTAAAGGCCATACCCTGTAATTAGGGTCCACACCCCTTTTATAAATATTGATCACATACTGGGCATAATGAAACCTTTAAGAACAACAACGAAAAAGACCAGTATAAACCATGTTTTTTGAGAACAATGCAGTAAATTTAGAAATTAAATACCAAAAAGTAGAAAGAAATAAGGCTGACCACTTAGATCAAAATTCCTTTTTACCCAACTCTTGCATTAAGGGGGAAACTAAAACAGCCGAGACAGAATAGACATACATCAGCAGTAATAGAAATACATTGAAACTATTTGGTGTAACCAAAGCTGTACTTAGGGAATAATCATAGCTTTTGATGTTATTATTAGAGCAGATAAAGTGGGGAAAAATGTATTAAGCACTTTAAGTTATAAAATTCTGTAATGGTAAATTCAAGGAAACTTTTCGTTGACTGATTGATTGATTTTATATGTAGAGAGAGAAACATCAGCTTGTTGTTCCACCTATCGATCCTTGTGTGTGCCCTGACCAGGGATGGAACCCACAATCTTGGCATAATGGGACAACGCTAAGCAACTGAGCTACCTGGTCAGGGCCAGGGAAACCTTTCTCGGCAGTTTGAAATGCCTTAAAAAATTTCCTAAATTCCAATTACCCATGAGTTTTTTTCTCATCTTTCTACCTTTCTCTCTATTGCTACCTCTGTGCTTACCTAGTGTTACTACTGTAGCTTTATTGTGTTTTTATAGTCCTACTTCCGTTGTTCTTTTTCAGGTTATTTCCCCCCATGTTTTCAGAGATGCTGATTCTTTTCCATGATCTTTAGAATAATTATATCATATTTCCACTCCCCAAGTCTCCCCCTCCCCCCCAAAAAAAAACTTGTTGTGATTTTGATATGTTAAATTCATAGATAAGTTTGAAAAGAACCATTTGTCTTCCCATTGTAAGAATCTGTTATCTTCTCCATTTAAGTTTTCTTACTTGTTCCTTAGTAGTTTTTAAGATAAACTTGAAGATTGCTGTACAAAGCACATAGTCAGTTTATATAGTTTTTAAAAATTTGGTCACATACTTTTCCAATGAAGGTTATTTCTAGGTATTCCAGTAATTTCTGTGCTGTGGTT